TTGTGCTGTCGCACCAAGGCACTCCGGAGACTGCCCCACGGAGAACTGCACCCCACGGAAACGCCCCGGAACGCTGGCATACCGTCTCCGTCGACTTCATCGTAGAGCTTCCCGAAGCCCATGGGTACGACGCGATCATGGTCGTCGTTGACACCCTCGGAAAGCGCCCACTTCTCAGAGTGTCATATGACGGTCGATGCAGTAGGGGCAGCCCGCCTCTACTACCGGAATGTCTGGCGGCACCACGGGACTCCGGGAGAGTACGTCTCCGACCGCGGCTCGCAGTTCATCGCGGACTTCACCCGAGAACTTTAGCGTCTAATCGGCATCAAGCCCGCCACGTCCACCGCGTACCACCTGCAGACAGACGGTCAGACAGAGCGCGTCAACCAGGAGCTGGAGCAGTACTTGCGGATCTTCACCAACTACCAGCAGGACGACTGGGATGAGCTGATTCCGGCCGCGGAGTTCGCCTACAACAACCACGTTCACTCCTCCACGCAACAGGTCCCCTTCATGACGGACACGGGACGGCTCCCGCGCATGGGCTTCGAACCCGGAGTCCGTTCCGCCATGGAGTCAGTGAACGAGTTCCGCGACCGGATCGCCACTGGTGTTGCTGAAGCCAAGGCCGCGCTCACTAAGGCCAAAGAGGAGTACAAGCGCTACTACGACCGGAGACGGACTCCGTCTCCGGAGTTTAAGGTTGGCGACCGTGTTTGGCTGGATGCCTCTGACATCAGGACGACTCGCCCCTCGGAAAAGTTCTCCCATCGCCGCCTTGGACCGTTCAAGATAGTCGCGGAGATCAGCAAAGGTGCCTACAAGCTCGACCTCCCTCCGCGCTACTCGAAGCTCCACCCGGTCTTCCCCGTCGTCAAGCTCGAGCTCGCTCAGGACGACCCCTTCGACGGACGCCCCGGCTACGACCAGCCCCCTCCGGACCTCGAGGACGGAGTCCCGGAGTGGGAAGTAGAGGAAATCCTGGACGCAAGGGTGAGGTATAAACGGCTGAACTACTTCGTCAGATGGAAAGGCTACGACGCATCGCACGACCAATGGGTCCGCTTCGACCGCGTCTTCGCCCCGGAGAAAATTGCGGAGTTCTATCGTAAGTACCCTGGCAAGCCACGACACATCGCCTCCGCGACCTTCGACTCGATTCCGTTCCGGTCTATGCGTCGGAACGCCGCATTCAAAGGGGGGTGATGTCAGGGGAACCTCCCTTTCGGCCCCTCGGAGACGCCTCCGATTCCGGTCCGACTCCGGTTCCGTCTCCGGTCCGGCCCTCCATCTCGCCCGCACAATCACCGATCCGTCAACGCCCTCCCGACGGTCGCCCTGGGACCTCGCCTGCGACGCCGCCCAAGCCTTCTGTGCCCGACAGCGGCAGCTACGGACAAGCAGTATATAGTCAGCTACCTAGCAGGCGGACCCTTAGAGTTTCTTCTCTTTGGATCCTCCCCTGCTAGGTCAGCTTCATTTGTATTCGCTTACCAATGTTCACGCTTTGGATCCTCCCCTGCTAGGACCTTGATCTCAGGCCTCCGGGGTTGCCCTTACAGAACTCCACGATACGGAACCAGGAGCGCAAAGCAATTTGGAAACCCTGCATCAGCCAGATAGTACTTGTCTACCGGAATTCGGAAGTCCTTCATTCGGGATTGAGCGAACATGGTAGCATCTGCAGAAGACCCATCATATCCAGTAACAGAATACTGAAATCACATATCGAAAGAGCAGCAGCATAGGATGTTCTGCAAAATCTGCCCTTTACGATCTCGGTGAAGCTGGTGTTCCTCCTTTGATGGCCAGGATGGAATATGGCTTCCATCAATTGCACCCAGAGCATTATCGAAGAATGGTGAGAAAATCGGGCTTGATTTGAATGAGTGGGGAAGGGGTGTATCGGCAGTCGGAAGCTCGACATATCGGTTATAAAAGTCGGGGTTTGAAAAGGCATCAACCATCTCTTGGAAGTACCTAATAGCAGTCAGTTGCCAGAGATGGTACAAAAAAAAGAACATACTTGCTTATAGTATCATTTGATCTCTGGAAACGTTCCCCCACATTTTGTATTGCCAATCCAGTTGAGCATGTATAGAGAAAGATCGCCGGTTTTTCTTCCAGTGAGACGTGTCGTGATTGCCTACATCCCAGCCATCGGAGCTCAGCAATGAGAATGTCGAAGACATGAGCATCCGATCAGGGTGGTTGCTCTGGTATAGCTCGTCTACCCACTCTTGACCTGATAGCTTTGATGTATGGTATAGGATTGGTGTAATCCGAGTCTGCGAGGACTGTTGATAAAGGTAGACCATATAGGAAAGGAGCTGCAGCATATGGGCACCCACAAGGGCAGCAACCTCACGCGCACGACGAGGGTCAAGTGGCTACATGATTCCAAGTCATGAATGTGACTGTGACATTCTTCCCAGTCTTCTTGTGGCTCCAGAAGCAATAAAATATATATTTGTAACTATCCTAACCTACAGTCCTTGCTACATACTGGTATATATAGTTGCACACTCAGTGCATCGATGCGTTGCAACGGCATCCGGAAGCCCGGAGCATCGCTCCCCCAAAAGGAAGTCACGCCGCGGACTCTCAGGCAGCTGTGTGACGGCGACAGAATCTGGATTCTCCTCAGAATCGCGCCAGATTCTGGTTCCCGAACGGAGCCTTAGGGCCCTATGGCCCTAGCTGCAACACTGTGATGACTACTTGTCAAAATAAGATGTCACTGACCGACTTCTTCCAGTCTTTGATGGCTCAGGTTGATGAGGGTGACAAGTTCGATGGCACGTTGGCGCAGTTGATTCAGAAGTTGCGCGAGGCAGGTTTTTAAAGCGCTCCTCTCCCCTGGCCAAGGAGACGGAGCGATCCGAAACTATTGATTCTCAAGCAAGAATTTCAAGCGTGGCTTGCACAGTATACTCGCAACCAAATTGTGCAGGATGTCGCTCCTCCTGATGTGCGCTTTCCCAAGAACATTGGGCCCCTTTGTGATGCCTCTGTTCGGCCACTTGTCAAACTCTATGAGTTCTTGCTGACTTCCGAAGTTCTTGCTGACTTCCGAAGGTCAGCGACTCATCAAGCAGAGTTTTGATAAGTGCAAAATTCCTGACTCACCGTGGTGCTTGTCGCAGGTCCGATCCGACACTCGCAACTGAAATCAGCAATCGATGTGGTGCAGCAAAGCTAGATCGGATTTTAACAAATGCCGAGAAGGAGGGAGAGGCGGAGGCAGAACTAGATAACTCGAGTTTTGATGATGCCGAGGTTCCACTGGCGGATGTGGTGCAACCGAACGGGCGCAGAGTTTATGGGACAACTGGAGGATGTAAACTATATTCATGCTGAGGACCTGTAATATGTATTTTATGTACTTTTACGAATTTTTACACAATTTCCACAGCAATTTAAAGTACTTAAAAAATATTATTTAAATGAATATCCTAGACCTGCAACACTAGGTCCGTTATGCATTACATGTTGCAGCAACCTGCAATGCAACACAGGCACCGTTATGCATTACGTTGTACCCCTACAGAATGCTGCAGTATACAACCACCACACCATACATGCCACTGTCGCAGTCCCACGTCAGAGAGACTCTTATGCTAAAATACTAAAATACTTACAAAAGAAAACAGCTTACCCAGAAAATAGTATTCCCAGAGTATGGTAAACCAAAAGTCATATATGTATGTTCAAGACATATGATTTTATTAGTAACAAATGTAAATGATCCTAGTATCTTGGGACAACTTATACAGTTCGTACCAGAGATAATAACAATTTTAATAACTTGAACAGTTAGAATATAAAACTTAAAGAAAGTAGACTTGATTTGATTTGCAAGTGCAGATGGGATATGAGTCATCCACCTTCATATATGGTGTATATCATATTACCCCTAATCACTTAATCACCCACTCAGGTACCCAATGAAATAAGGGGAGGAAGCATTCACGTAAAAAATGTACAAGGGGCTCAGAAGGGTATATATTAACATAGAGGTCTACCGTTCCTGTTCCATTTGGAGACTCTTTTGGTGTGTTCTTGTGTCCCACAAACCCTGAAATTGCCTTGGCGCCTGCGATTGGGTGTCACTCAGCAGATCACAGAAGAAGAGAGAGGAGAATCTGACACCAGACATCTCAGTGTCAAAGCAAAGTGATAGGAAGCTAGTCAGCAGTGAGCCGTCCTCCAAGGATTGGTTGACATCTGTCAGACCTAGGGCAATGTCTTCAACATCCAGTGCATGTGTCTCGAACTGGGGCTTGGTCTCGGTAGGTGGGTTACTGGTTTCCAGTCCATCCTCGATATCCTAGGGCTAAGAACTATGGAAATTGGAGCATTTAAACAGTAGTTTCAATATCCCCATTCCCATATTGTTAGTGCATGGTGGTGCGCATGTGACAAGCAAGCACATAGGGCAGCTATGTCATTTAGGTGCACCATTGGGCTATAATCATATTATATGTGTACTATAGACAATATATAAGAGCCTGGTCGAGCACGAATTCCCCACCAGTTGTACCTCATTTACAGTGTCTCACGTGATTACTGGTAGGGTCTTGGTAGGTTAACAGTAATGTCATTACAGGTACCTGCAAGAAGACATCTATGGGTTTGACATCCATGGATACAGGTATCTGTTTCCCACAGATGCCAAGAGTACAGGTATGGCTCTGAAAGATCTCATTGTTCATTATCTTATATATATTGCAGTAACTACACCCCAAACCCCCCATGATATCAGGGAAATTTCGTGGCATAATATCGTAGGAATGTTTCCGAGAGATATTGCAGTGAATTTTGGAGGACATCAGCAGTATATAATCGAAGAAATGTCCTGAGTATATACTACGCTATATTGGCTTGACATTGGGGCATATATTATCTCAAACTTGGTGGAAAACTTCAGACTGGACTACGTCGGACGTTCAGAAATATCGGACACCAATCAGATTTATAATCATTATCACATGTGATTACCATCTTCCTCGCTTTCTGCCACGACCAGCGCGCCCTCGACCGTGTGGCTGGCGCTTTCTTTTTCCACCCGGCACATAACCATCAGACTCGTCGCTTCCCTCGGGATCTGACTGCTCTTCCACCTCGCTATCACCCAGGGTATCATCAGCTGGTGCTTCCAGTGCTCCTGTGGGCTCGCTGCCATCTCCCCCATCCTCATCAACATCTGCGGCACAGGCTCCCGCAGGAATGACCACTGCATCGTTGGCCGCTTGTTGTGCATCTGCAGCTGCTTTTACAGCCTCTGCAAGCTTTGCTTGAGCGTTGGCTCGCCGTTCCTGTGCGGTCTTCTCACGCGCCGTGTCCCGTGCGTTATGTGCCTTGGCCGTGACACCCGTATGGAAGCCCTTACGGTCACTTTGCAGGTATTCCAGTCGATACATCGGTGCGGGGAGCAACCGCGTCAGCTCAACGAAGTTATGGAGACATCCGAGGTTGAGGATAAAGTGGTTATCGTCGGTGTGTTTGATGAGCTGCACATCATGGTTCGTCTCCTCCCGCTCCTGCTGCTGCTTTCCAAAGACTGATGGACGGCAGCCTTCGTTCCTGCAGTTGTGCTGGACTGAGCAGGAGAAGAGAATATCGACCCCGTTGACAACGAGGAATGACGTCCTCCCAGTCTGGATTTCGGGGCCATTCGGGCGGCGAACTACTGGCCAGAGAAAGTCTGGATGCCGTGTATCGGTGCAAATGAACCGTTCGAGCGTGACAAACGCCATATTCGACTTTGTGTCTCCAATGATTTCCTTGACCCGCCCAAGCACAGGGTTGCGCTCTCCGTCTCTGGCAAACACCCAGGTATGTTCTTTTACTTGGTCTCCACTTTGTGCAATGACATATTTACCCCGTCGCCAGTGTGCTTGAGACGGTTCCTTATCATGGGTCCAGTATTGCTTGGCCTTGGTCTCGGCCCATGCAAGTGCTGCCGTAGTCTTGATACCCAAGAAACGAACGAAACCGGGCGTTGGAGCCGAATTTTGGACCCATCCAAGATGTCGTTGAAACATTGGGTCGGTAAGTAATAGTTTGCGAGTTTCTTCGCCAGATTGAATCCATTTTCCGTCAGTTGTAGACTGCCAGTAACCACCACATAGAATGTGCTTCACGGTCGCCATTGACGCAAACTTAGCCGCGATATCTCGACTCGGCGCCTGATTATTCCCGTTAATGGAACACATGCGGAAAATTGCATTGTATCCTTCCTGTGTTTCGGTTGAGAAGCGCACGGGAGGCCCGTACCATTCGACATCTTCAGCCAGGTGAGCCAATAAATGCAGTTTGATTTTGACAATAATTCTGAGTGGGTCGACAGCATCCCATGCATCAAGGACGTTTGCCACGGCTATTTTGAGCTGCGCAATATAGGTGGGCATGTCATCGATCTCTGGAACCCACACCCAAGCGCCCAAGTCAGCTGTCGCCTTCACGAGCTGAAACTGCTCAGGTGTGCAAATGCCATGGATATGGAATACAAGTGCTTGCATTATGGCCTTGTAATCTTTTCCGATGAGATTATTGCGGTATTGGATCTTGTAAGCGGCCCGCATTGGAGGCATGTTCATGTTGCTGATGTCGGTCGATTCCAGGTGAATTGCGAGAAGGTGTCGGTCCTCGTCGGACCATTGCTTTGAGTGAAGATGATGCCATACATATCGAACAGCACCAAGGAGAATCGTATGGATAATTTCCACAGGTGTGTCGGCGTGCCAGATCAAGTCCTTGTCAGGGGAAACCCTGATGCCGTCACTTGATCCCATCAAGCGCCGCGTCTCCGGTCGCGTCTCCACGTCTCCGCTCGTGTTTCCGTGTCTCTACACCCTGACGCTCTCCCTCCACTGCCCGCACCACATCCCACATCCAGTAATCCCTAGTCTTCGACTTCCCTGGCCACCCCTTTCCGGGAGCCTCTCCGGAGTCACCATCAGGGATCACTAATGCCATCGGAGACCTCTCCGGATGTGGATGCACCACTTCCCTCTAGACCTTGAGCCTATGGCCTGCCAGCCTCTCTGGGCTGTCACTTATCAAGGTCTCCCTACGATCTCTACCTGCTGGACCTCTTAGGTGTCTCCAACCTATGTCAGCGTTCGGGCTTACGTTCGGATGGCTGAGCCTCGCCATGGCTCCGCTTCCCACTCCGCCACCACGGCCCCCGTCATTGGGTCTCCCTTTGGGTGAGGCCTACTGCCGTTAAGGCTCGTGCCTACCGCAGCGCCCCAGGCTGCACGCCCTCACACCCACCTCTCTGGAGACGTCCGGGGACGTCTCCGAGTGACCCTCCTGTCGCTACCCTCCAGTGGTCATGGCTGGCCGCCATTCCCATTGGTCCTCTCCGACACTCCCCGGCCCTTGGGCTAGACCAGACTCCTTCCCTTTCCGCTCCACGCCTTCCCTCTCCGTTTCCGGCCGTCACGTCACGGTCACACACCCGGAGTCGATTCCGATTCCGGTTGTCACGGTCACGGTCACAAGCGGAGACGCTCAGAGGCAGCCTGGACCTCCCGAAGCCCTTCTTAGGCCTTCTAAGGATGCCTGGGCTCCTCCCTTGGCATCACGGTCCCAAACCTGCCTCTCCGGAGCTTCGAGGGCTACTCGACACTCACCTAGGGTCCATTAGCGACACCTGACTTCTCCCATGCGTCGTTCGTCGCTATGCAGTCACTCTATCATTACTCCGGTCACTAGTATATAGTAGTGCACCTGAGCAGAGGGCTCCTTGGCTTGTTCTCTAAGGATTCCCCCTCTGCTCAGGTGAGTCTGTAGCGTCCCTTCCTGTTGTAGTAGTTCACTAAGGATTCCCCCTCTGCTCAGGACTCTGATTTCGAGCCTCGCGAGGTTGCCCTTACAGTCCTGTGATATCAAGCAATGGATTGAGTTTGTCTCCAGGCTGCTGGTCCAGCCATTTCTTGTGCCAACCACAAATAGATCGCGGTTTCCGCTAAGTGTACGGAAGTGGCTTGGCATTTGGGTAACATATTCGAGTGAGCGCTCAGTCCAGACAATGTCTCTGCCAAACACGTCCGTTAGATCGTCAAAGTTAGCTTGGAGATTCTCGGCGTTAATCTGGACCTCTGCGCCAGCACAATCCCATTCGCCATCTGCCTTTCGGGCGACGGAGAGGGCATCAGAGGTGAGCTTGCCATCACGGACAATTCAGGTCATTGGGATAACGAACTGTCCATTTTGAAGTTGAGCAAGCTCATTAATCCACCACCGTCGACGACCATTCGAGTACATGGGTGTCAGCTCTTCAGCGGTGTATTCGAACAGTCGCGCAGCCTGCCAACGCTCAGATATTCCCGTCCTCGGCATCTCTTCAGGGTAAAGATGCAGATGTGGTGCCACAAGGGGATTAGAAAAGTCGCGGGCGATTGCATGGCGAATATCGTTCATATAGAAAATGTTGCCTAGACTGCTCGTAATCTTGACAGGTTTGTCCGGAAATTGGTCATGAACCTGCTTTTGAATTTTTCGCAGACCTTTCAGCGTGGGTACATCGCGCGCGCCAAGGTGCTTGAGTAAATGGAGAACAAGTGACATTTGGGCATTGGTAAACCGGCAGCGACCAAAGTTATTGACGGCATCCAGCATCAGTACCTGCAAAACCTCAATTTTTAAGTCTGCCGGTGCACAGCTGTAATACTCACTGTGCGATTCGGGTACGGAAAGCACAACGGCTCCGACTCGAGGATTTCGGCATCTTCTTCTGTGAGTTCTGGCTCAAAATCTTCTTCATCGTTGTCTTCTAACGGCTGGTCCCCATTATCATATTGCAAGGCGTCGGCAAGTATCCGTTGAAACTCGCGGGCGGAGGTCTTCGGCACTCAATCCTGCTTCCCGACCTTCACGCTGTTCTACATCCCGTTGGGCAGGCTCCTGGGCAACAAACCGGAACTCAGACATTTCATGGTCCAGCAGAGGCTTGGTGACGGCAGGGAACATTGGAGGCACTGGAATTCGATGGGGGAAAGGCACTGCAGTTGCGGGATATACTGCTTCAGAACCTTGGTATGTCAGGTCAGTCCGAGTCTGTGCCACGAGCTCTTCTCGAGTACGTTCGGCAGCACGCTTGACGCAAGATTGGTGTGCTGCTGTCGCTACATGTCGTTTTACATTCGATTTTTGAATGAAATCTTTTCGTCCGACGTCGTACGAGTAACTGAGCAAGCAGCGCAGCAGTTTTGCATCGGATGGATGAGATTCAAAGTGTTCTAAGGAATCTTAGGACTCGGAGGCAATACCAAGGGCTGAGCCAGCAATCTCACCTGGGGGAAGATCTGCCCGTGAGGGTGGCATTGTTGGAATCCGACGCTTGGCACGTGAGCACGGGACCGCGTCAAACAATGCGACGCGACACGGCGCGCCAATACAAAAGGAAGTGTGACCTGGTGACGGCCACACATTTCTTCTCCCACTGACCACCACCATGCCTGCTGCACTTACTCTTGCTGAACGCGGCCGACAACGTGCTGCTGCAGCAGCGGCTGCCGCTGCTGCCACCACTGCCTCCCATATTGACCTGCCGCCCTCAAGCCCCTCTGCTGGCGGAACACAACCTCGCTCGTCATCGCCATTGAATTACACCGACGACTTGGAGAGTGACGCGGTCCTGCCATTTTCCGCACTGGCTAACCATGCTCTTTGGGTGCCAAGCCTCGCTGGCTTTGGTGAGCGCAACCTGAAACGCCAGAAGCTTATGCCACAGCTGGAACGAGATTATATGGAAATCTGCGAGGTGCGAGCAATGGTGGCATTGATAACACTCACTCATATCTGCCAGTCAACAAACATTCACGAGCGACAGAATCTCGAGACCTTCACAGTCTTCCAGCTTCTGAACAAAATCACCGAGATGACGGAACTCCTACAGCAATCTTAGACGGAAGACTTCAAAAAGAATGGCGATGTTGCAGTGCGTGTTATCACCCTCCTTACAAACCCCTCACTCATCCGAGTCATTGTCGCAGACTGAGATTCGGAACTACAGCCGTGCATTCTTCCTCGATCCCAACTTGCAGTTTTACAAAGGGAATATAAAGCTCGTCGTCATCGTGCGTCTTCACCTTTCATTGTGCGTGTCATCTCACTCAGCTTCTGGCATCCAGGATGCAATGCGCAAGGAAAAAGTCGCCAAGATTCTGGCAAAAGATGCTCCGCTTCCGGCGAGGAAAGCCCTGGAGGCTGCTGTTGGTCATCAGCTGTCTGTGGATCGTAACCACATCAAGACTGAGGTATGTCATATATTGTCTTGCATTCAATGGGCTGAATAGCAGTGTAGCTTGAAAGCACCCTCCAATCCAGGGCTGAATCCACAGATTTGGCTAGCGTGGCAAGTCGCCTCATCGGGGGTTGGAGCATTGAGGCTCCGATTACACTTCAGCTTCTATGGCGCCTTGCTCTTATGGTATGTTGAGTCCATTACATTTGCTCTCAACGGACACTGATCCCAGTTCAGCGAACCAAGCTTGTGGAGAACAAGGGCTGAGACTTCTGGGAGCATCTTGACATGGAGATGCATGGGCTTCGTTCAGATGAGGATGCCGGCGTCTATGTGTAGTGCGTAATGAATTTACAAAATTCACTGTTGATCTCTGATCCGACTTTCAGTGCGCTCCAGGATAATTTTAAGGAGGATGTAAAGACATATGGCAAGCTCAACTCTGAAGTCAAAATTGATCCGGATATTGGGCTGCATAGCCCGGCATGGCTGCAGCGAGTCCGCAAGCTGGCCCCATCCGTTGAAAATGTCAAGATCACTAATCCCACGGCCACCGGACGAAAGCGAACACATGCTCAGATATTGGATCATGATGATGATGATGATGCCGAGAAGGAGAACAATGGGCGTTAATGAATGATAGAGGGCTCATAACATGTATATGTACTATATTACCCCAATTATTATCCTTATCTTCTTTCTGTTTTGACTACTGGATAAGATACTTGGCAATGTATGACCAATATCAGACAATATTTATTTTGAATCTCTATCCTGAGGCTATATAAATCTAAATGGATAGTTCAGCAAGATAGTTAGAGGCATATAAGAGTGATATTTTTCATGATATCAGGTGTATATGATCAGTTAATATCAGCTGATTGTCAACTGACATGGTATTTGAATTTGCTGAGTATATTCTCTAGACATTGGCCTGATATTTGGTGCTAATATCTACAGACATTTAGTGGAGATATACACTGGATATCATCACTGGTTTGGGGTGTATAGTCTTTTCATGCCCTGTAGTGTTTATTTTAGTGCAACTTGTGCAGATACCCATATCTGGGAGTACAGGTACCCATTTCCCATGGATGCTGCAAATGCAAGTCTTGGTTTTAAGGCCTGAATTACCTGTGGGTAGAGTACAGGTACTTATCTGCAACACTCATGAGAAGCCTTAGGTTGACTGGTCTGCTTGAAAGGTCCAAGGGGTAGTGAAGTGGAGGTTCCCCTGACAGCACCCTAGTCACTGGTCATTACAAGCAGGTGGCCCTGCAGCCCTGGCCTGGGTGCCATCACCTCTGTCAGCACCCTATGACTGATAAAAAACTTTATCATTTTTGATGGGTGTGACGTGTGACTGACAAATTGTTTGAAATTGGAGGGTAATATACCAATGCTCTGAGCCTGGAAGCAACCTGGGAGTACAACTTCAATACTTAGCACTGGAAATATATACACTTGTCTGTATATACCTATTCATCTGTCACAAACAACACCAATCCAGAGGATGCCAGTTGGCCAGTGAAGGCAAGCAAGAAGCACCGTGAAAAGATATCGTAAAGATGATGGAATTCGAAGACTGGGGTACAAGACGAAATCTACTCTACTTATATACACTACTACCATGTGTTTACCATGCCTAATACGAGAGGCAATGACGTCATACTTTAGCCATGCCTTTACGTGCCGTTTGCCTCATGTCCAACTCCACGCTGTCAATCAACATCAGCATCGACATCTAATGATCCAATCACCATCTTATCGTCCATCTTATCTCCTCCTTGTCTTATCTTATCAACCAGGGCCAAAATAAAAGGTTTAAAAGGCGAAGAAAAAGGGTTTTTGAACCCAGGGTTTGACATTACCCCCCCCTTCAAGGTCGACGTCCTCGTCGACAGAGGGCATTAAAGCGCGTTCATCATCCACCCCCCCTTCAGCCTCCACAAAATGGCCAGTCTGATAATTAAAGAGTTTCCGGGATGGATATGGGAGCTTCTCTGGCGTCGGCTTATAACGTTTGACCAGGTAATCCCAATGACCCTGGGCAAGGACAGGCACACTACGGGTCTTGACCACTGGGTTCTTCTGGTTGAACTCGTCTAACAATTCTTGAGAGTTCTCAAGCCTTTGCGCCGTCTCCCATGTATCCTCGCTATGCGGGTATCCCTTCCACTTCACCAGATACTGCCAACCACGACCACGTTTCCGCTTCTTCATAATCTCCTCAACCTCCCACTCCTCGTGATCATCCACAATGTCCGGTGGCGGCCTTTCCTCTCGCCGGTGGGATGGTGGCTCGTGGTAGGGTGTCAGCTCTGTCTCATTGTAGACTGGATGAGCCTGACTAGAACCTGGCATCTTGAGTTCGTATGCCGAAGGTCCAACCTTTGCCTCCACTTTGAATGGTCCCACACGTCGATCGTTGAGCTTCTCGGATGGTCGATTCTGTTGCACTTTTGACCCTTCAACGTACACCTTATCTCCGACTTTGAACTCAGGTGCTGGTACACGTTTCTGGTCATAGTACTTCTTCATCCGCTCTTGGGCCTTCTTAATTGCCACCGTTGCATCCTCACGCACGCTGCATCTTTTTCGCGAATTCTTCTGCTGCCTCGACCTTAGAGTCATATGGTCCTTCGACGCCTTTCCAGGGATGGTACCCATGATCTAGGAAGAATGGCGAGACCTTGGTCGAAGCATGAGCTTTGTCATTGTAGGCGAACTCGGCCAACGGTAACCATTCCGACCAGTCTGATTGGTGGTGGTTGACATAGATGCGGAGATAGTGTTCAATCTCTTTGTTCATCCGCTCTGTCTGACCGTCGGTTTGAGGATGGTGTAAGGGCAACCCCGGAGGCCTGAGATCAAGGTCCTAGCAGGGGAGGATCCGAAGAGTGAACATTGGTAAGCGAATACAAATGAAGCTGACCTAGCAGGGGAGGATCCGAAGAGAAGAAACTCTAAGGGTCCGCCTGCTAGGTAGCTGACTATATACTGCTTGTCCGTAGCTGCTGCTGTCGGGCACAGAAGGCTTGGGCGGCGTCGCAGGCGAGGTCCCAGGGCGACCGTCGGGAGGGCGTTGACGGATCGGTGATTGTGCGGGCGAGATGGAGGGCCGGACCGGAGACGGAACCGAGTCGGACCGGAATCGGAGGCGTCTCCGAGGGGCCGAAAGGGAGGTTCCCCTGACATCACCCCCCTTTGAATGCGGCGTCCCGGCGCATAGACCGGAACGGAATCGAGTCGAAGGTCGCGGAGGCGATGTGTCGTGGCTTGCCGGGGTACTTACGATAGAACTCCGCAATTTTCTCCCGGGGCAAAGACGCGGTCGAAGCGGACCCATTGGTCGTGCGATGCGTCGTAGCCTTTCCATCTGACGAAGTAGTTCAGCCGTTTATACCTTACCCTTGCTTCCAGGATTTCCTCTACTTCCCACTTCCCGTCCGGGGCGGATTGTGAAAGGAACCGCCCCCGTCGCATAATCAGAGCTGTCCGCCTCGAGTCGGAAAGGCCGTGCGTCGTCCGGAATCGCCAGGACCGGTTCCCGAGGTGACCGCGTCCTTGATCGCTTGGAACGCGGAGGCCTCCCGCGTCGCCCCAAGTCCATTGCTGGTCCTTCTTGGTGAGCACGAAAAGAGGGCGCGCAAGGGTCGAGAAGTCCCGAATGAACCTGCGGTAGAAGTTAGCGAACCCAAGGAACTGCTGAATGTCCTTCTTGTTTTCCGGAGTCGGCCAAGCGGAGACGCCTGCGACTTTGACAGGGTCCATTTCGACGTGGTTGTGGGAGATGATGACTCCGAGGTACTCGATTGACGATTTTTCAAAGTCGCACTTCTCCGCTCGAAGGTACAACTTGTGCTCCCGGAGTCGCCGTAAGACCTCCTGGACAATCTGCCGGTGTTTCCGGAGGTCGGAATGGGCGATCAGGATGTCGTCAAGGTAGATCATGACGTCTCCGGAGAGGATGAGATCCTGGAAAATGTCATTCATCATTGTTTGGAACGTTGCGGGAGAGTTTGTCAGGCCGAAATACATCACCAAGGGCTCGAACAGGCCTCGGTTAGTCCGGAAA